AGAACATTAAGAAACATACACTCACACACATTCAGAGGGCTTAATTTGATCCCCTGCAGGTTCCCCCTGCCAGTCCAGGGTCAGTAAGCTCCCACTAGCTTAGGTAAGTTGTTTCTGTTGGTATCCCCAAAAATCAATCTTGACCCCTTTGCTCATATTGTCACTCCTACCTCTCTTCCACTGGACTCTGGGAGCTCTGCCCAGGGCTTAGCTGTGTATCTCTGCATCTGTTTCCATCAGCTACTATGGATGGTTCTATGATGATAATTAAGGTAGTCATCAATCTGATTAGAGGAGAAGGCCAGTTCAGGCACCATCTCCATTAATGCTTAGGGTCATCCTTGTAGATTCCTGGGAATTTACCTACTACCAGGTTTCTTACTAGCTCCAAAACGACTCCCTCAATCAAGATATCCCTTTGACTTGGGCAGTCTGTGGGGCCACTGACAATAGGACCAGGATTTATCCCTAGTGCTTGAACTGACTTTTTGGAGCCCATTCTCTTTGGAGGGATACCTTGCTCAGACTAGACATAGTGGGGGAGGGTCTTGTTCCTGCCTCAAAAGTGATGTGTCAGACTTTGTTGATTTCCCATACTCTGAGGAGTGTATGGAGGGTGGGGTGGGGGGAAGTGGGGGGAGAAGGAGGAGGAGAGGGAGTGGAACTGGGATTTGAAGGTAAAATGAGAAAAGATTGCTTTAAAGTTAAAAAATGATTAATAAAGAAAAGAAACACATACTGGACAGTTTTGTAGCTTGGTCTACTTGTGGGACTCCTAGTGGTGGAAGCAGGGCCTGGACCTAATGCTTTGGTAGGATTCCAGGAACTCAAACCTCATGCTGGGTGGCCCTGCCCAGCCTTAATACGAGGGAAGGAACTTGATGCTAATACGTAAACTTGCTATGCCATGCATTGTGGACAACATGTGAGATCTACCCTTTTCTGAATAGAAACAAAGGAGAAGTAGATGGGTTTGGGGAGGGAATGGGAGGAGCAGAGGGAGGGGAAAATGATCTGGATATAAAATAAAATAGTAATTATTAAAATAACTTCAATTAATAATAATATAAACAAACATACACTCCTTACAGCCTTTTTCAGTTATATAAAGCTAAAGCAGAGATTAGTTTCAAGAAGTTGTTTCACTGGTGTCTGGAAAAAGCACAATGCCTGAGAGCAGCAATGTGGATGGTTACAGATGTTTTGTTCAGACTTGCAACATCAGAGCTTGTGATGTTACAGAGAAGTAGTTCTTTATAGCACAAATTGAGATTACACTGTGTTAGAACACAGCTTTTGTTTCGCTAACTGGTTATATACACACATACTCACATGCAGGCAGGATCTACGCATGCATGATGCTTTAGCTCCATTTCTGCTGCTGTAACAAAACACCTAATGAAAGCAACTTAGGAAAAGAGAGGAATGGGGCTCCTGATTTCAAGTTATAGTCTATTCTTTTGAGAAGACAAGCATGGAACTTTAAACAACTAGTCACATTCCATCTGCAGTCAAGAGCAGAGAAAAGAATAAACCCATGGACTCTTGCTCTATTGATCTGTTGCTTAGTATTCTGCATTCCCCACTCTGACAGAGTTTTAGAGTCACCCTGTAAAATGGCGCCACCTACATTCAGGATGGGATTTCCCAAATCAATTAACAACCAAGACAATCCACCACAAGATATATCTACAGGGCAGATCTAGAAAATTCCTCACTGAGCCTCTCCTCTCAGGGTTATCAGTAAAAAACAACTAGCACCCAGGACTTTGATAAAGGGAAACTAAGATGCAATGAAAACATCCAGCCTTGTGAGCTCTTTTCTGGCAAGGATATTAACAGTTAAAATATTAAACTTTATGTGGCCTGAGACCATGTGGATTCTACATACTGGAAAGAGCAATGCAGAAGGCTGAGCCACTTTGGTCTGATATGTTTACTTTGTTGGTGTTCAGTTCAAGAGCAAATACCCTCAGTCAAATTCTCTGAGCCTTGTGAACTGTACCAGGCAGCACAGACTCAACATAGCATTTGAGAGAAAAGCCGTCCTGTGAGAAAGTGCTACAGAAACTCCACAAGTACCATCATGTGATCTGTGTTCCAAAGGGGTTCAAGCAGCAGGTGGGAATTATTCTTTGTACTTATCTCACTTGTATTATTTTGAATTGACAAAGCTTCACTAAAAATTGCATACTTTGAGCTCAGTTATCTTTTGGGAATTGAGGCATATGAACTAAAGAGAAAGGACAGAGTAAATACACTCCCAGTAGCCAGTCATGTTTAAAAAAAGAGGTGTGGGATAAAGAGATAGTCCAGTGATTAAGAGCACCAATTGCTCTTCCAGAGGACTCATCTGGCAGCTCACAACCATATGTAACTCCAATTCCAAGTGATCTAACCATCTTTGTCTGGCAAGATGTCGAGACATACATACATGTAGGCAAACATCCATACATGAGTTTTAAAGGAAAGGGGGTTATGACCAATGCCTCTGCTCAAAAGCAGGCAAGAAAGAGTAGGTGTAAGCAAAATGGTGAGGGATAGAAGAAATGACCTTATGTTGGAAAGTTCCCAGGGACAAAGGCTGTTGGAAGGCTGTTTTCTTCTCTTTGAAGGGTTCCATAAACCTTACAGGTATAAGCTGATATCCCTACAGGTGTTGAATTTTATGTGATCTCTTATATAGGTTCCTTCTGATCTTTCCTGGGATTGATTCCATGGTAGATCTCTGTAGTCTCCTTAGCAATGAGAAATATTGGTCTGAGCATACAGTGGAATCTCAAACCAGCCCGGTTAAAAGTTGGTCAAGAATAGTATTGGTAAGTATAAATATCAAACTTGCACCCATCCCATGTCAGCCACAGATAAAATAATTGATAAAACACACAGACAAGATTGTCTTTCTTCAAACAATATTCTTAATGTTAATTTACTATGCATATTATGTAACATACTAGCTAGATGTACAACATACAAATATTCTCTTGTTTTCCCTTCAACGTCCCCAAATGAATAGATGTATAACATTAACACTGAGTAAACATCCTTTTCCTTACTTTGATTTTTTTCTCAGTCTCTTCATGCATAATTAGTATTCTACTAGTAACTTAAAGCAACAAAGGATCCATTTCATGTCTGTTGTGGCTAACACTAATTAAAATGCTCGTCAGTTTAGCATTCTAGATCCTGCTGTTTACAAATTTCCAAACTGGATATTAGAAAACATAATCCCATAGACAGGAATAGAACTCTTACTAAATCTATTTATATAAAGATTCCCCCAAGAGTATACAAATTTAATAAATATGCTCGACTTTACGGTGAATTGTCCTTTATTTAGCTAAACCACAAAATAACTTGAGCAGATATCATATGCCAGGAAATGAGCACTTCAGAGAAATGACTACTTGCTAGAGAAGGCCAGCCACTGTGGTACTGTATATCTCAGATCCTATTTGGCATATCCACACACTGTCTTGCATATATTCATTCGTTTCAGCAAGGTTATGGAGAATTCTTTGCATTATATACAAGGAAAAGGGGAATCTATTCTTCATATCTAACCTGACTTCACTACTTCCTCTGTACAACAGAATATGATTGATGTGCTAGCCATCTTTCAAGTCCTGACTTGAGTTTTCCAGAGGTTTCTCTCATACTTTTGCTACTTTGAGAAAACTACATGTGGGAGCTTGACCGAAGAGACCAATTAAAAAGAGATAAACTGAGTCACCCCAGGGATCCCCAAAGCCAACTGGTGAATGCAATAATTACACAAGGTACACAAAAGGAGACCAAAGGAAGAATTGTCCAAACCAACAGAGACCAGATAATATTGCTGAAGAACCATGGAATATAAAACAGCTGTCAGCCAAAGATTTTTGGAAAATCTTACTATACAGATGGAGAAGACTAGTGAATCTCTCAAGGGACTATTCCCTGTGTCTATCAGCTACAGGGTCCTGCCTTATCTTAATAATTGAAAGTCATAGGTGCCCCAACAATTGAAAGTCATAGGTGCCACTTCCAATACAACCCTTAATCAATGTGTGTAAAAATCCTGCCAGGAACGAAGATATTCTAGAGAGAGACATGTGAACTCTTCCTTTTGCTATCAAGCTATTGAAACAATGGCTCTCTTGCAATTTTCCCAGGAATATCATACTGGAGGAAGGAGAAGATAATAAAAGAAGAATCATGGTATTTAAACTACATAAAAATTAAGGTCTTCAGCAAGGCCAAGCTGCCATAAATGATGTTTAAAAGCCAATAAAAAACCTTGGAGAAAATATTTACATAAATGTGACAAAGAATTAATGCCACTTGAGTGAAAAATTAAGAGCTAGTTTTCTGAAAGTATCTGGATAGTGTCCCAAGATTCCACACTCTAATTGTAGTCTATCATCAGATTGCCTTAATAATCTTCTGATTGTATCGAACTGAATATTAGCAAATGCAATAGGAAAGAGGGCAGTGATGAATTTTCACAGTTTTGCTCACCCACTTCTCTTCCTGTGATTTTATGAGAAGATCCTTTGCATGACCCAGGTGCATACATAGCAAAGGGATGGAGACCAAAAGAGCCAACCATTGAATTCCAAGGAAAATCAACATGCTACCCAGCTTTATTGCACGAACACACACACACACACACTCACGTGCACACACACGCGCACACACACACACACACACACACACACACACACACAGTAAGGGACTTGAAATTTACAGTGAACTGAGAATAGGTCTGTGTTTTGCCAAGCCTTTCTCCTAAGTACCAGCATTCAATCCCACTACTAAAATGGTTTGGTAAAAAGAAAGAGGTAGCCTCAAAGTTGAAAACTTCAAAGGTAGTTTAATTTCCTTAGTGGTGTTCCAGTGACTGCCTCTTGTTTGGTTTATCAGCTGACAAAGCGTAAGAGACATGGCTTGCCAGCAGGCATTTGCAACTGTTGCCATGGTGTTGAAACAAACCAACATTAAATACATATTCCCTAGGGTCAAGTGCCTGCTCTTTCACTCATTTCTCATACAGTATTGCTAAGGGTTGGTAGATTTGCCATACATCTACTTCCATGCATCTACCTTCCACATCAACATTCTGGCTGACAGGCTGAACTTCATACATTATGGGATTATTGTGAAATTCACCCTATTTTTTTGTGCGTGCAGTCTGATGGAGGCCAGAGACATCAGATTCCCTGGAACTGGAGTTACAAGCAGTTGTGAGCTGCCTGACATGGGGACTTAGAGCAAAACTCCCTCTCCTACAAGAGTGGCAAGAACTCTTAACCTGAAGTGTGTCTCCAACATGGTAAGAAAGTTTTTAAAAGAGATTTAGAAACCTTGGGTCCTTAAGAAATAAATGTGTATAACACAGATAAAAAGTTGAGTAATAAGCAAACAAATATAAGGAGAAACATGACATGTTTCATGATAATGAAATAGTTTGCACAGTAAATCTTCAAAAAACATAAGTGCGATATTAAAAATGCAATTTAAATGAAATAGTGCTTGGCATTATTGCTGTTTGGTATTATATTTTTAGCCAATTCCACCAGTGCATGTGTTCTTTGGCTGTAATATCTCCTATGTTGCTGGAAAAGGGAGAAAATTAGGTTGCAAGAATAAATTAATAGACGATTTCTGCAGAGCAAGTTGTACTATGTATCAATAGAGTTACACCTCCTTAAGAGCCAACAGAGCCACTGGACAATGGTAGTGCATACTTATAATCCCAGCACTTGGGCAGTAGAAGCTGGTGAATCTCTGTGAGTTCAAGGTAAATCTGGTCTACAGAGCCAGTCCAAGGACAGGCATGGCTACACAGAGAAACCCTGTCTTGAAAAATAAGCAAACAAACAAACAAATAAATAAATAAATGAAAAACAAAGTCAAAAAATCGGTCAACAAATGAAGATGTAGATAAATTTTGATGTAGTCATACAAAGGAATGACATTCAATAACAGGAAAAGGACAAAATTTATATATAACAAAAATATACCATAAGTATATATGTTTATGATATATTAACCTGAATACAATCCAAAATATATTAAATGAAAGAAGCCAGAGGGATTTGTATGCCCTGCAGATTCAATTTGGGGAGACTCATGGCTGGCGAATAGAAGCAATGATAGCAAGGATGAAAATAGTGATTTAGAAAAATTAGAAAAATGGTGGAAGAGGAAGTTGGCTGGAAAGAAAGCAAAGGAATATTTTAGAGCAACTGAGTCTTTTTTAATCATTTTGCCAATGTGGAAATTAGTGGTAGGTTCATGGAGATGTTTCAAATATCTTTGAATTGTGTGTGTGATATTTGAACATTTTGATCCATCATCAGGGATGAATCCTAAGTGTTAAAGGCAACATGTACAGAAAACCAGGAGATAAAAAAGGTGATATTTTTGCACTGATGTGACAAAAAATCCTCACACTCAGTAATTTAAATACAACAGGTGGTTTTTTATAGTTTGGGATTTTTCAAAGTTCACAATTAAGGTTCTCAGTGACTTAGAGTCCAGTGAAGGTTTGTTCTTCGTGAACACATGGTGAAAGGGCTACACTGCTACCTGGGACCTTTTGTACACTTTAATTATTAATGTGTATTAATCACACATCTTCAGACATGGCTGTATCATGTTTAGATAATGTCTACTCTCTCTGTCACTCTCACTTAACTACACCTCTACCCCCATCCTCACCCCTTTCCTTACCCATCCGTAAAAGTCTCTCTATTCCTCAGGTTGCTCCCTCTCCCTTTAATTTTATTTTACATTTTAGACCACATCTCTTGTACTGTAGAATAACCCTGAACTTGCTATGTAGCTTCAGATAATCTTGAACTCCTGGTCCCCTTGCCTCCATCTCCAGAGTCCTAGGATTACAGGCCTTCATCACCACACCTTGCTTTTGCAGTTCTGGAACTCAAACCCAGAGTTTCACAAGTGGTTAGCAATCATTCTAGCAACCAGACAACCTCTCCAGCTCCATGCTTTAAAACTTTATAGCGCTCATATTATAGAAGTGTAGAATGGTTGTCTTCCTGAGCCTGAGACAAAAAGACAACTTGATATTTACATCTATCATTTTGTCAATTTCCAAAAAAAAGAACACCCTATCAATCTAATTCTTCTCTGATTATTCTGGTCACAAATACATGTGTTGATTCCACATCTTGAATCTTGGGATCATTGTTGCAATATACAATATGTGTGTATCATGTTCACGTGATAAATTCATTGCCTTTAGGAACATACCCAGAAGTGATATACCTGGATCCTTTGTTCAACTTATTTTTAGTGGGGTTTTCTGTTTTGTTTCTTTTTGTTTTTTGTTTGTTTGTTTTTTTAGAACCTCCACTGAAGCTGCCCTTATGTACATTCCTCCTGGCAGTGCATTAATGATAACATTGGTCTTTGCTTGCTTGTCAAGATGGTCATAGATCTAATAGGCTAGGGGAATAAGGAAGGGCAATTCAATTTTGACATTTGTTTTCCTGATGGGTCTTAAAATTTTTTTCATATATTTATTAGCCATATATAGTTTCTTTTATAATATTTACTTTTAATTGTGTATATTCATTTGTGTCTATGTGAGGAAATGTGCTCATGAATGCAGGTGCTTGGGGAGGCCAGGAGGGAAGGCTAATTCTCTGGAGCTGGAGTTACAAGCACTTGTGAGCCCCTAATGTGGATGCTGGGATCCACTTTTACATATTCTTCAAGGGCGGCAAATGTTCTTAACTGCGGAGCCATCTCCATATGTAGTTATTTTTAAAAACATTTTTTCAGATTTTGGGTGGGTGGGGTGGGGACTGGAATATTTGTCTGAAGCCTTTTTTCATGACTCAACTTCCATATACTGGAGGCAAGTTTTCATGACCTAACTACTCCTAGTGCAGGCTGGAAATTAAAAGAATTGAGGGTGAGGAAGATACCTGTTCACATGATGGCAGGAAGTAAATGATTGAGCCTTGTCAGGGCACTTAAAATGCTAATTCATGACACATACATCGCAGTATTCTAGAACACATTTGCTTAAATGATAAAATAATGGCTTGAAGATACTGGCTTTTACCAATGTGAAGAGATAGTTCACAAGTAAAGAATGTGTCCAGTTATTGCAGAGGACCAGCGTTTAGTTCCCAGCACCCATATCAGACAACCCGTAACTGCCTCTAACTTCTCTAGAGGATCTGTCTTCTCCTTCTGACCTCCTCAGGCACCTGCACTCCCATAGACATACACAGAAACATAGTACACATAATTAGCACATACACATGCGCACGCACACACACACACACACGCATGCACACACTCATGATCCTGAAATGAAAGAAAATGTTTATAGCTGATTTATTCCTCTGAATTTAACTAACTTTGCTTATATTTTGCATCAGATGACAGAACTGGGTTCTTTATGTCTAAATAAACTCTTTATGCAACAATTTATTATTTAAGGAAACATCATACATAAAACCAGAGAAAACAGAAATCTAGAAATACATGTGCTAACATTTTTACATTGCTATTTTTGTTGCCTTTTTAAATATTTGAGATGGAGTCTTACTGTGTAGCCCAACTCAATCCTGAATCCTATGCCCAATACACATGCACAAGAGTGTGCTGCCATGTTGCTTTCAGGGTAAAGTGTTTGGTGGTGATTCTTAACTTCCTCACTTTAACTTCATTATTATTTCTTTCAAATCATTATCAGTATTTACCTGTGAGATTTTTTTAATCCTGGGATAGTTTTAGCAGTAGTCCCTTACATTAGTCATATGGCTCTGATGGTTATTTTATAAGAAATATAACAAACTTTAATCATAGACAATAGGGGTATGTGTGAATGTCCCCTAAGTTCATAAGGTAGATGATAGTTACTTGTATGGTGACTGACGCTGAAGGTGTTGAGAGATGGATCCCCACACAATACAAATGGATCACTAATGACTTCACCTTCAGAAGGAATTAATCAAGTCCTCCAGATAGTCAGTTCCTGGGAAAATAGGATATTTTTAAAGACCAAATTGGCCCTTTCCTGTTCAATGCCTTACTGTATGCCATAGCATTTCCTACCTGACCCTTACATCCCACGGTTGTAAGACGCAGCCAGAGTGGACCTTAGCAGATCAAACACACACACTCAGTGGACTCTCAGCCTTTCAGCACCATAAATTCAATAAATTCCTTTTCTCAACAAATTTCCCAGACTCATGCAATTTTTAAAATGGTGGAAAATAAATTATATCAGATGATGTAAATATTGAATTGACAGTTTAAATTTTTACAATGAATTATGACACAAATTCAGCACTTGATTCCTACTCAATAATTTAAATATTCAGAGGGTTTTTATAACTTAGCTTTAAGAGATATCAGGCTTAACTAACTAACTAACCAATGAGCTTTAACTCATGAATTTCAACATATAATTATTTTTTCAATGAAAATGGCTCTACATGAAAAGTTACAGTAATATTTCACATAGAAAACATCCCTGTGAAGCTTCTTTCATTTCCCATAATTAAGTAATAACTTATCTGTGTAAGCAATATGAGCTTGAACAAGTCACTTATGACAAGAGTCCAGTGAGCATCCACAAACTCCCTGAAAAGCATCTGCCCACACTTCTCTCAGTCATAGCACCAGATCTATGACAGGAACCCATCCTGCACTCAACAAATATTCATTAGGTACCCATATTTTCCTCCCCTGGCACTGAAATGGATAATAAGAGTATTTTGGAATAAAACAGGTGAGAATATATACTCTGTCGAGCTTAGGAATATAGGCAGAAAATCAGCAGACAGCAAATGAGAAGCAAAATTCTTTCATAATCTCAAATTGTGGTGCAATTTGAGAAGGAATTAACAGTTCACAGGAACAGACTGAATATAACATAGGGTACAAAAAGATGAGGTTTTACAGGAGTTTGACAAGTTAATGTCACAAGGCAGATTGCTCCAAAAAGAAAGAATAGCATGAGGAGGGTCAGCACTCTACACGGTGAAGAAGAGAAGTAAACGGCAAATTGTTATTTGACCTGCAGGTGCATGCAGTAGCATGCACACATGAACTTAATTTTAACTAGCCAGCACAGCTGATCCCTTGTCAAGTTGACACACAAATATGTCCCCATTAACCCATAACTTTTCCTTTCTTGTTCATGCCAAGCATCACAGGTTTTATTGACATCATAACATAAACATTCCTAATTGCAAAGGCCTTCACAGTCTGAAAACCACATCCCTTAAAAATTCAGTTGTCTCCTTTAAAATACCTTGTCTCACAACTGTGTGCCCCTATATT